AGGATTCAATTAATTGGCTTTAGTAGAGTCAATTATGACCTATTCCCATTTAGCCCCAATATAATGCAGTGTCAAACTGTTGTCTGAGGTTCAGTGATTTTAACAAAGATGTGAATGATTTAAGTTCTTAAGGATTGTGATGCTGCAATAGTATGGCTAGAACTGTGACTTGTGGTTGGTTGGATATCTGTGTGCCATATTAGTAGGTTGTTTGGTCATTGGCCTTTCTAAGTTACATTGGTATTTGCCAGGAATGAGGACTCATATTTGTGACTGTCATTTTTGCATGTACACATGGTTTAGCATGATGTAGTTATTCTATTCAAAAGCTGAAGCAGAAGTAGCAAAAACAGGATATAATCTGTTATAAACTACCACACTCGTTTCCCATATAGCTGTAGGTAAGCATCGGATTACAAATGGATCTTCCAAGGTATCTCTATCTGTCTTATGTTTGCCCTGCAGGTGATGAACCTGATTGGTGATGTAAAAGGCAAAGTTGCAGTGATGGTGGATGATATGATTGACACTGCTGGTAGGCGAATCCATCCTCAATTTAACATATACTTGACTTGTCTTTACCAATTAAAGCTTTATTGTCAAGTTACATGTCAATTTTGGACCTTTTCCACATCTTCCAAGGTGTTAGTATCAATTAATAATCTCAGAATTTTTACTTTATAATGTTTGTCTGGTATTTTGGTCTGCATAGTGTGCTTCCTGGAGTATACATAATAAACTCAATATTTTTACTAGACACATCTTAAGATTGGACTAATAAAAACACTTTTGTGAGGTTATTTATTTTGGCCTTCCTAATTGTATAAATATTTGCTCAGGAATATACATAATCATATATTTATTCGGCGACTGCTGAATTTAACTATTTAAATTATAGCTTAGATATGAAAGGAGAAAAAAAAGTGAAAGATCAAAACAGTAAATTGTATTTTATTGATAATATTATAAATGACAATATTAAACTCTATTTATACTAATATTATACTCCTAATTAAATAAGGAAGCAAATCATAAATGATAAAATAAAATGATCTCAATCATAATATATATTCTAAGATACTATAAACAACCTTAAGATATAAACATCATAATATGAGATCTTCTTTCTTTATCAAAATATCATCTAGATATTCTCTGTAATATAATTTAAGACATTTTTCATATATTCTAATAGTAACTTTACCTGTCAATGGGTTAAATATTAAATTGTAAATAAAAGTATAATGTTAAGGTGTTGAGATAGTTAGTGAGGGAAAACCATTTCATAATTACATTCTTATCCATGCATTTGCCTGAGAAGATGCCAATGAGTTAAATATTTCCTGCTTGTTTGGAGGGAAGGATGATTTTTGGTAGTTTCTTTTTCTCTTTGCTTAGTTCACATGTGTTTCTATATTTGATGTCTTATTGAATTGTTTTCGGAATCAGGGACCATTGCTAAGGGTGCGGCACTGTTACATGAAGAGGGAGCCCGGGAAGTGTATGCATGCTGCACTCATGCAGTTTTCAGGTACCCTCTTCAACTGTGTTCCTTACATTTTTATTTATTATTTATTAGAGTAAATATTCAATTTGGTACACCAATTTTCGCGTATATGAATTTCATCCCTGAAACAAATAAAAATCTCAACTAGTACTCAAAGACCGCAGATGAAAGTCAAATCAATCCCTATCAAGGGTCATAAAACATGTTAAAGAATGACTAATTTGACTCAATTTTGATATTTTTGGGGACTATTATGTGGTTTTTAATTTTTATGAAATCAATTTGGTACACACAAAGATTGATGGAGCAAAAAGGTCTTTTACTCTATTTATTATATTTCTCCAATAGGTAATAGTACTAGGTGGAGTTTTAGATTCTATAGTCCAATGCATAAATGTGAACCGTGCTATTGTTACACTTGTTTGATTAATGTTTTTCAATTTCCAATGGTTTACATACTTCTTTAGTTTATAATTCAAATTGCTACATTATGTATGTTGCACCAAGCCACCAGTACTTCAAATTGATCATTGTTCCAATATCAGATACCTATCATGTACGACAGTTCAATACTATAATATATTTTTTAAATTAGGGCATTGTTTTCATTCCCTTTTTTGTCAATGAGGCAACATGAATACACCAAAATTTCATTCCCTTGCATGATTAATTTAGGTAGTGTGAATTATTGTCAAAGAAAATGATATATTTTCTTACAAATTTTTTTACCTACGAGAAAATGACATATGTCAGAAGATTTTAGTAAGATGATATATCATTACTCTTATAGTAAATCTTCACCACATGTCAGTATTTATGTTCAACATTAAATGTGAACCAGTTTTGAGATTATGCTTGTTTTATGTTATTTTAATTATCACAGCCCTCCTGCAATTGAGAGATTGTCAAGTGGCTTATTTCAAGAGGTGATTGTTACAAACACCATTCCAGTTGCAGAGAAAAACTATTTCCCACAGTTAACTGTTCTCACAGTTGCAAACCTGTTGGGTGAAACTATTTGGCGTATTCATGATGATAGCTCTGTCAGTAGTATTTTTCAGTGAAATTTTCCAAATTACCATTTTGCAGTTAGTTTTTTATTTCATTTTTTCAATCAAGGATGTTCCCAAGGTGATAGTTGGAGACTAACCCCTCAACGGATACCTGAATAGAAAATACTGAAGTAGGTTTTGCTTCTCTGAATAAAGCATTTTCCATAAGTATATTAGTGATCAAACACCACTTTTTAAGCATATTTAAGGAGCCTGATTATTTAACAAGAATGTTGGATCTTGTTGATACCTTTTGTATTGTAGTTAAATTTTCTATTGGTATAACATTTGCGGTTCGTTTTATTTAACTAATATTTATTTTAGACCCTGCCTATTCTTCTTTCATTTCCTCTGGTCTTCTATTTTCTTATGTTCAATTTACCATTTTGGGTTGTTTAATTCGTCAAATTATATGTCAGTGATCTATAATTTGACACTCTGAATTTGTGTTCACTTGATTTGGTGTAGTAAATACGTTAAATAAGATAGCACTCAAAAGATGATGTAAAATCCTTTAAAAAAAGAAATGGGATTTACTAGATATTGAAAAGTAAGTATCCTTTATCTCATTATTTATTGTTTGATTTAAATATAAGTTAGTTACTCTTCTCATTTTGAAAATTTTAACATTATATCAAAGTTAGAATCCAATTTTCATTTGTCTTATCCAACAAATTTATGTAGAAGAAACATGTGAAATAAGTTTGATATGATTTAAATACATGATATATTATTCTTCTCATACTCAATTAATTATAACACTTTAGTTTATTAAACTAACAATTCTGCCCATCACAGATTTGAATTGTATCATTCCATATCCTAACCTGTGTAAAAAAGAGCAATGTACAAGGGTGCCTATTTATTACAAGGGTTAAGGTACTAGTGGTACTTGCACCCAATTATCTCTCTTGAAGGGGATGTCTGGTTCCACCTACTTTAATGCCGATGCTGACAGCTTCAGGGTGATAATAATATTGCCCTTCTTTATTAAGACCTAGATCATAAACTGAGAAAATTACATTTTTTTGTCATGAAGTTGTTTCCTACCCATAATCAATCACAACTTTGTGATAAACCCTTTTTTGTGTGTAATGAATAATATCAAAAACCTTTTTTTTGTGTGTAATCTCTCACTTACTCACATTAACAAATAGAATAAACAAATTGGGACATTTTGGATGGAGAAGACAATGAGTTAATAGTGTTAACTGAGTTAATGATGAGTTGTAATTTTTTTTACACATATTATGATATAATTGTGTGCAAGTACCATTAGTACCTAGAGTAGTGTACCTAAGTTTAGTCCTTATTGCAAATAACAGTATATACTATATACTCTTGCGAACAGGGACAGTAAAAATACTGGTAATAGTTACTACAATAATAGTTTACTATATATAAATAGCTGTGGTATCCCTAATGTGGCACTCATGCATAAATTAATTTTTAATTAAATATTTTATGTATATTAAATTTTTATTACTCTAATATCAATATATTTTTTTGGATATTTTATAATAAATTTTAATACTTATTACAAAATATATAAGTTTGTAAATAAACTTGTAAATCCATTGGAAATGTATAACCCATTCCTTGTCATCCTAAGTGAGTAAGTGTAAGCAAGTTGAGGCAAGACAACCACTTAAAGTTCATATTTGAGTTAGGAAATTTGTTTAACTAATTATTTTCATGAGTGATCCTCTAACTAGTTTTTTATAACTAAAATAGACTATTTTATGGTAGAAGGTAAATCATATATTAAGGATTTTTCTAAAATGGGCCATGAACACATACAAGAGTTCTAATAAAAATAAGTTTCTATTAAGAAAATAAAGACACATTTTTTTGAAGAGATTCTACTTTTTTATTTATAAAATCCTAAACATAAGACATGGTCACATATTAAAAGAAGCATAATAAATAATAAAACCTATTTATATTAAAAATCATATATGTTTATCTATTAATCCTTGAGAGTAACACTTTTTTAGAGTAGACAACTACAAATCTAATCAGTTGATTATCTATCGATGAAGAAATAGTTTTGAAAATACAAAAATACATATACTATATTTAATATGTATTTATGTTAATAAGTAATATGTCTATACTATATGGACTTATTGGGCCCGTGAAATGTTAAATCTAATTTCCACCCGATTCAACACGCAGCGGAACAAAAACCCTAATGTTGCTTGGAACCCTAATTCGCGTATATATAAACAAATTATCACCAATTCAACTGTCACAATATTCCTCTCCTCTCCTCTCCTCTCCTCTCCTCTCCTCTCCTCTCCTCTCTCTTATTTACATAGTCTTAGTGCATTGAAATTTTCCTCACTTATTCGATTTATTATTCTTAGCTTTAGTACTCAAAATCTGCATTCCTCAATTGTTCATTTCTTATTCTCAGTTTTGTTGATGAAACTGTGTTGAGTCTATGATGAAGATATAACCGTGCCAGAGACTAGTCTCGTTAGAGCTCGTCAATGACGGCGCAATCCTCTAAGAAGTTCTGAGCTCAATCTCTTCTTTTTCTTTCACTTTTTTTTAATTTCCCCAATTACCCTTTGTTTATAAATGTTTAATTATTTTTCTTTCATAAAGAAAGTTTCAAACTTCGTCTTTGTGATTTATTGAGTTATTTAGGGTTTGGTAGATTGGTTAAAATCGAATAGCGAGATGATGATAACAAATCATGTCTGTCAATCCGCTGATATCTTGTGATGTATTCATGTATCCCGACAGGTTCTGATCGCTACCTATTCGCCACTCTTCCTAATTTTTGTTGCACTGGTTTTATATTTTGAAATCTCTTTATTTATTTAAATTTTAGTAATTTGAGTATTTAGATTATGATTGTAATGTTTTGGAAATGTTAATAGTGTTGGGCATGTGATGAATCTGATATTGTAAATGGGTAATTTGCATCTGAATTACTTTGATGTTACATCACCTTGGAGAACTGATGCCCAAACCATCACACTAAACTTTCATTCATTTTAACATTTTCTTTTTTACTCTGTTTTTAATCTTTTCCATTTCCATTCGGATTCACTTTTTCAATCTTATGAAATATACAAAAACCAATTAACAACATTAATTTAATCTTATGAAATATACAAAAAAACCATTCTTATGAAATATACAAAAACCAATTAAGGTTATGTAGGGAAAGAGAAGAGAGATTGTGTGGCATAGATGGGGAAGGAAGTAATGTTGGAAAAGAATGATAACTTCTCGTTTTGGGAGTCTAAAATTCGACCTAAGAATGTAAAATATTTCTCGTTTCTCTATTAAAAATCTTATTAAAAATGGACATCAAAAAACATAATTATGAAATTTCTGGACAATTTATGAATCAAATCATTAAGAGGTTTATAAGGGAAATTGTAACAAGACTTATGAATACCAGGACTCTTATTTTTTCTACCAAAAGATTGTATTATATGTCGTGCAGACATGTTAGGAACAATTTTGATTTACAATTACCACAGAATTAGACTAAGGTTTTGCTAGATAATGAAAAGTAAAAGAGAATTCCACACGATGAATATATCTTTATTATATATTAACAAAAGTTTTTCTGGAATAATAATCTGTGGTGACGTTGTCGATGGTATGTTTTTAATTTTTTAACTGATTCAGCTGAACTGGATGCTTTATTTCCATGAGATTGAATTGTCTGTACTTGGAATCAAACCTTTTAGTAGCCTTGATGAAAGATAAACCAAAGAGTGAATACAATCATTCAACCGAAATCACCTTGTAAGATCTTAAGCCAGCAATATCTTTAAACTGTATAGCATATTAATTATTTTAAATTATACAAACAAAATTCCACTGAAGTGAATTACTATCTACTAAATCATACATTTTAAACAGTTCTGTTCAATGAAACCGCTACATTTGTTTTGTAAACAGTTCTGTTAGACCTTTATTGATAAGAAGCTACTTATGTTCTTAATGATAAAGTACTTACAGTTAGAACATCAGGCAAAATTATTTCCCAAGTAACAGCTCAAAAATTGGGTATTCAATAGAGAAAAATATAATACATTTGGCAATAACTAGTATGATGATGGTAGATCTCCATCTTGACTGAGCTCAGGAGCTTAGGATCCCCTTCAGCCAAGATGTAGATCTATTACTCATCATACCCTTTATGCAATGTGATTGATAATTTTACACTTTTTTATAAAAACAAATGTAATAACTTGCTATTCTTTTTAGTATGATTGGAAGTCATCATCATCCATAAAGTAGACCTCTGGCTCTGGGTGCACTGCAGTACTAGTAAAATTTAGAGCTCTTTGTAACTTGCGATGATCAAATACTTCAACATCAACCAAGAATATTGAACTAACTGGTCTATGATCTGAGAGCTTATTTGATGCACTCCCATATTTAAGTTGCTTTATTCCTTTTCCTAGCCACAAAATACGATCACACCTGCATAAACCACTTACATTATCATTTAAAACATTTTATTTTGCCTAATGCATGTATCCATTAATGAATCTTGTATGGGAACAACTAATCAAAATCAATAATAATATTAAGAACCAAGTTATGTTAACATTTTGATTGGTTGTGTCTAATAGGAACGTGGGCATGTAAGAATCACATGGATGCAAAAATACTCACTAGTTTGCTATACAGAGTTGAACTTACCAGGCTGGAGATCTTTTCTTTTCCCCTTCTTTTGGGTTCTCACCAAAATATTTATCAGAATTAAATTCGTACTTGTAAGTGGGAGGGAAGTTTATTAAGCCCTCTTTCCATCCTTCAAATACATGCCCACTGTATAATTCATTGCTTAGCTGCATATAATATCAGAACCAATTAGTTATTTCTCTTGGATAACTCTAGGCATATATATTGTAGCATGCATATTTTCAAACAGTGAGTACTTGATATTAATTAAAATTTCACTATAGAGTTTAGAGACCAAAAGATTGTTCTTGGTTTCATAAATTTCACCTGATCATAATTCATCAGCTCATCCCACTTCTTTAGAGCCACTAGCTTTCGAACCTCCGCATCCAATATATTCATACGATAATTCAAATCTCCAAACCAGAAAATCTTACTGTTAACAAAGAAGCAAATCAGGTACCAATCAATGACTCAAAGTTGTTCATTCACAACATAATAATGCCAACTCATAGGTACAAGTAGCAACATATAAACCATTATAACTAACAATAAAGTAACATCTTCACTCTACATATGTCAGCATACAAAAGTCCCATTCCATGAAAAGTCCCATTCTGTGGTTCTGTTTTATTTACTTGGAATCCATGCATGCAATTTCTTCACTTGAGATAATATAGAAGTAAACAAAGCTATTATCTGATAGTAGTATTGGCAACATCAAATGAGTGAAGAAATTTAGATAGATAACATTCTGCTTTTTATTCTAACATGTGACACTTATTGTGACAAATGAAGTATTAGACTCAGGTGGGTTGTGCTCTCTTTTCTAACACACCCCTTTGCTTCTGTTAAAGTTGATAAGGTGATTTTAAAAGACAATTGTGAAACTTACTCATGAGATGGGATTGTTTGTGGTTGATCTTTATCGAAGACAGACGAGAAGCAAGTGCGTCGAATAATTTCATGAACATCCGAGTTTCGTTTTTGTTCAGCTCCATCCTTCTGACCAGAAGTCAGATGAGAACAAACAAAGCATAGACGTGACTGAAAGAGAGACATACTAACTGAAACAGACCCCTGCATCAATCATAATTTGTGAATTAACAACTTCTAACTCTAACTGCACACACATGCTCAGTATTCTTATGCTTTACATACTAATATGCTAATGACTTATACTTCAATTCCAATATGCCATATGATGCTGATGTATTTGAATACATTGGATATAAATCTATTTGGTGCAAAAATGTGCATAAGTAATTGTCATATATAGGGATAGTGTAAAAGTTATGTCAATATAAAAAGTGCATACTAACTTCAACTCAATGTGCATTATCCTATTACCTTGTTGCCCATGTATCCCATAAGACCAATTCCAACTGGAGAAACTTTCAAATTATTGATGTGCCTTCTCAACTTCCTTTGCACCCAAATAGATACATATATCCCCACCATTTGCTTACTAACAATCCTGACATACTTACGATGCGATTTCATGTTGCCTAGTCCATTATCATTATCATCTTGGTTATTTGGTAATTCAAGAAAATCATCATCTTCCTCATCTGATAAAATGTCAGACACATCAAGTGATTCAGTTGCTACTTTAGGTATCATTTGCTGCTCTTTCCAAAACAAACTCAAGTTTCCCGAACTATGATGCGAACGTTTCATTCCACCACCACCACCACCGCCACCATATACCAAATCGTTACTCTCCATCCAGCTAAAGCCAATTCTTGCTGAGCTACTCAATACTCTCCTCAATTTTGGATTGGAATCTACTTCAGGGATTGCATCTAATGGAAGTTCAGGCCAGTCAAGTCTAGTCTTAAGATCACCAACACCATATATCTTTCTCAAATGTAAATTCTTTCCTATACCAATTATGTTTCCCACCTCCTGTTGTTCCAGATCATCATAGTCAAAAGTTTCTATACTTAATGGATTAACATCTATGCTATCTGCTAGAACATCAGCAGCAGAAGCATGTACAGGAGAAGTAGGAGCACTGTAGCTTTTGTGTTTACTTTCAGGTTCAGAAGATTTGTTTAGAGTTCTTCTTATGATTGCCTCCCATTTTGAGATTGGAGTATTATCCTCTGCTCCGAGTACATTTCCAGCATTCAATGGAACTACCTCTTGAAAACTGTGAAAAGCAGCATGTTAGGTTATCTGAGAAAGTTAGCTTATTTCAATAATGGATTATAGTGGAATCAGTTTTATGTTTGGATGTATTTGTTGAAGAAGGATTTTAAGATGATCTTTTGTTTAAATATTGTATTAAGTTGCAAGACCAGGTTGAAAAAACAAATAAAGATATGAAACAAATCAAACTATTTTGCCAAAAGGATATGATGTTGACTAACACGTGTGAAACAATTATCAATGATAGACCTTATAAGCTGTTTTTTCGCTACCAATTACGTCGTCATAGGTTCTTCCAAACTGATGGCACTGTTATCTTATCTTGAGAGGACTAAATTGAAGGTTTACTCATAATGTTACAACCATGGAAGAGAACCAGGCTCATAAGACCATACTGCAAGAACTAAGGCTATGTACAGACATATCATCCTATTAGACCAAAGTGCTTGTAGAAGGCTTAACATAGCAGATGGACACAGATATGTTGCAACTGGTAAATCTGGACCATTCAATTCTATTCTTATTGGAAATTATGATATAGCTTTTCTATTCAGTTAAAAGGATAGGTACTATATCTTTTTTATCAACTTGGTCATACAATTTTTTTGTTTCATTTTAGTCTTATAAGTTATTTTCTGTTAGTTATGCTATGTTAGTCCTTTTGCAGTTTAAAAACTGGTTTTTAATGATATAGTTTCTCATAAAAATAATAGATGTGTGATATATCTTTTCATTTTGAACTCAATGGCATCATAATTGCAAATTTTGGTAGAGGATTGAGGGAGTTGTGAAGGAAAACTCGTTGGGTAGGACCAAAGTGAAACAAAAAGAAAACAAGACCAAGTTGTAAAACAAATAGGAGTGAAAATCAACTTATTTTGCCAGAAGGAATAGCAGAAGATTCTCATATCAGATGTTGAGTTTAAAAGACTAGATCCATTCTTATGAACCATAGGAGTGAAAATAGGGATAAATATCATCATAATAGTTCATAGTTTATAGAAAAATGAAAGTCTTAGAATTTCATAAACAAGAATACAAGATTACTGTAATAGTAAAACTATGCACCCTATCAAGTTATAATGGAAAAGATATCCAATATTATATATGAAGCTCTGCCAGAAATTTTCTGACTAATCAAAAAAATAAGTCATAATGTCAAAGAAG